TTCAATCGACAATTGCATGAAGCCTCCATTAAAACTATTTTGATATCCCATCACAGTTATTTGACGAATGCTGTCAATACCGATCATGGCAAAAACATCATATTCATTCTGAAAGATGTGAGAGAGCTGATGAGCTTGATTTTATTCACAGTTTCACAACCAAGGCTCTTGGAAGAAAACGGCGAAAACACAACAGGTCTCAAATACGATAAAATGAGAACAGAACATCAGTCGAAAGGTATTTTACCTCTGTACTGCGTGACTGTAGATGGGCGCTCTTTTTGGTCGCAAGGGGAAAGAACATGCAGTAAATAGTTGAGACTATCATCAGCCGAATTGGAGCCCGATTCGATTCTAAGCGATCGGGTGTTTAATGTAACTCGCGGTTTGTACATCAACAAAATTTGGAATTCTAAGAATTATCTGGTTTTCATTTTAAAAAATTTCGATCCGATTCATAAACACCCGGCATATACAACACTAATAGAAACAGGAAATGGAACGCAAAAGTACCCTGTCAATATTGACCCGGTCGCTAGGCTCATGTTCTGTTTCAAATTTTTTTGGCGCTTCTTCAAAGGACTAAAATCAGTCATTTGCCACTCGCAGGGTTGTGAAAGATATGATCCCTTCACGGAAAAACTCATCTCAACTGAAGGTGAAACCGATCGATATTTTATCGATTTTTCTTGGAGCGATATGCATAGAAAATCAGTCAGCATATTCTTCACTGATGGAAAAAATCATAATTCTACAGTTTTTGAGTCTTCATCCTCAAACATTCTGGTTGAAACGTATGAGACAGTATTCAATGACTTAAAACGTGCTGTAAATTGCAGCTTGAAGTACCCATCATTTACGATTTACATGGGTGACCAATTCAAAAATTACGGTACTGAAGCAGGTTTGAAATTCGACATAGACTTGCAGCCGTTTGATTACGGACTAAGTTTAGAGGGGAATGATTACTCCAGGTATGATTTTTCAGTCAGCCTTGATACGAGATCTCTGTGCTTTGCAACTCCACATAGTGGTTTTATGCCACAAGGACTGGTGATTTTCAAAAGCTTTTCGCCACTCGTATGGTCACTCATTGTCCTCACGATTTTTAGTTTCTGGATCATTTTGGGAACTTTCCATTATTTACAATATAGAGTATTTTACTTCTTCTACCCAGACGCAGAAGTTGAATTTTACAGGAACTCATCTTCTCTGTTAACTGTTTACGCGTACTTCATGTGTGGTAGCCCAGCAAACCTACGCTTGGGTCATCTTTTGACTGGAAAAGTCCTCTTCGTAATTTTCAGTTTTTCTGCATTCGTCATAACTAATGCTTTTTTGGGTTGCATGACGACGCTTCTCAGCAAGAGAGTTCTGTATCCGGAAATTGATTCACTGAAAGCTTTGGAGGAATCAGATCTTCACATTCAAATAATCTTTGATGATGTTTCAACGGAAAAGGAAATGTTTTCTCAGCAAAACCACTCGGAAGTGCTTGGTGCAAAATTAGTGAGTGATTTATACGATTACTCTGTGGCGGAAATTGGGGAATTATTTCACAATGGTTTCTCTAAGGAAGATGAGTCTTCCGCAGATTTTAATTTTACTAAAAATCGCATCAGGGAGATTGAAAAGAATATTATGTCAATGGTTTCAATGGATGCTATGATGATCAGTGTGCCGTTCTCTTCAAACCACAAGGAAAATGTCCGTATAAATCATCATGCATTTCACGTTGATTTGGAGTATCATCTAATGCAAGAGTGCCTAATTACGTTTCCGGTAATGATTCCTTTCCTGAAATATTCTTTTCTCTATGATAAATTGAATCGAATAATTTATCAAAATCTAGAGACTGGACACACGAGAAAAATGATGGAGAGATTTGACAGCAACTTCATGGTATATTCATTTGAGGGCACAGATGCAGAAGGTGGTGAGCCTAAGCCTTATAATCTGAACGATTTGCAGTCAGCTTTTATCGGGCTCATATTCGGTTTATTTGTGAGTTTCCTCACTTTTGCAGGCGAACTGTTCACTGATTTGTATCCAAACTCAGTCATTATTAAAAATTTGAAAACTTTAAAAGTTTTCTTTTCGCGAATGTTGAGAATGGACAGAGTACCATAAACGCTATGAAAACCGAATATGATAATCGTGTGTGCTTGGCTGCCACTCGTTGAGAATCGCGCATAATGGCGATTCTGCCATTGGCGACACTGTCATCCCCACATTGAAATGCTTCGAAAATACCGATTTTATTTGAAACGAGCTAACTCACAAAGAAGCAATTGTTCTCCATCCTGTTTTTATACACAGGAAATACAAGTCCGCCAGCAGGGCAGCTACGCAAGGGGGCAAAGTCCTGTCGTTTGACAAATGAAACGTTCGGAAATTTTCTGGTTAAAACGTGAAATGTGTAAAAGTAAATCTGTTAGTAATTATCTTTGAAATCTTGGAAGCACTCTGTTTTTCGCTGGTCTCTAGAATGTGATGGAAGTCGAGATGGATGTGGAGCAGATGATGAGGAGAGATATGACAGAATGATCTAATTTGCCGAATTCCGTTGACTTCTTGCTCAAAGTTCTTAAAATTACATTGAATCATTTCGCTTTTCGGCGTTTGAAATTTTATCCGAATAAAACTGTATTAAAAAGAAAAAAAATAAGTGGACTGCAAAAAGAGGAGAAGAATAAAAAAGGAACAAAATGAGGAAGAATATCAGAGATAGCAATAAGAAGACTAGGGATAAAGAAAGGGAAGAGGAAGGAGACAAGAAGGAATAACAAGAAAAAGAAGAGGAACTGAGGAGAAAGGAGAAAATTATTGACGCATGACTTAGTTTGTCGTCCGTTTTTTTTTTCAATCTTATTTTCTTATTCTTTTTCCCTTTCTTTTCTTCCTCGTTTTTTGAGTCAAAGGACTGGTCTCCTATACTGCCGTGCTAAGGAAGAACGCCGTGTAAACATTCGTGAGTTGACAAAGGTTTTCGGTAAAATACTTATTTTGAGGAATGTTATGGTTATTTTTCCTTGAAATTTTCAGGAAATTTAGGTGAACTTACGAACAGAAATATTTAAAAAAAAATGGAAGGAAAATATAAATGAGTTTAATAGTAAATTCGTTTTTTTTTAAAATAAATTTAGCAACGCCGGAAGGCTCATACGGCGTTTTTCCTTAGCACGGTAGTATTGACCCAAGTCTGATAAACAAGGTTTAAAATGTGTGATGATTTTACTACAATGTTAAAACATTTAATCCATGAATATTTTTCCTCTATAATTTCGATTTATTCCACCGAAATCGTCTGAAAACACTATGTGTGGCCATTTCTGCGAGAGTGTTTTAAATTGTTCACCTCTTTCATTTAACAAAATTCCCTTTCTGATTACGTGTATTAAAGTTTAAATTATTTCCAATTTTGAAAGACTGACACTACCGACAGCGCTCCGCACGGCCGAGCGAGAAAATTAAACGTTGCAAGCTAGCCTTTCTGCTTGCACTTTAATTTTCATGCGCCTATCCAAATATTTACACGGCACTTTCACGTTGTGGCACAATTACAGGCATTTTATGATTACTATACGCTCCTCGAGAAATGTTTACCTACGGTGGCGTGGCATGCTTTGTCGATAAATCGATTGATCTGCCATTTAAACCGATGGAAAAGGATCGATCAACAGGGTGCTCGCAACGGACACCTTAATTATCGATTCTTTACCACAACTTCAAATGGGAAAATATCGATAATGATCATTCACGCCTCGGCGCTGTTTACCTATTACCATTTAAACGCTGCTTGCAAAGCCGATAAGTGAAATCAACCGAAGCCGATGATTCGTGCCGACCTTTAGCGTATTTTTATGGACTTGATTGAGGTAGTTACAGAAGAAATTTAGCCCAGGATTCGCGTCATCGATTCGATTTGTTGGCAATTCTTAAGATTTTAATCTTGTTTTACAAATCTCTGGATTTCAAATGATTTAATTGTACTTTATCAGCCAGTGGCGACCAAACTATACTCGTTCTTCGCATTTGACTGTTTCAGTCAGAAAAAGAAACTTCTCCTTTCTCCAATCCAACTTTTCTTACCCCGCGTCAAAGTCCTTGAGTCAGCGGAAAAGAGACCATATTCGCCTTCATTTTGTGGATATGCAATTTTACCTACTCAGACGTCGCAATAGTTGTATGAGTGTATAAACTTCATGATACTGTCTGCAACCATGGTAAAACCTCGAGTATATTATAACTTTTGAAACAGATCCTTGCGAGGGATTATAACGTTTTGTCACTACTAAAAATATAAATTTCGAGGGAATGCTTATTGTATTTCAAGTACTGTAAATTTTCAGGTATGTATTCGAACCCGTCTTGAAGTTTGTTAAGTCATCGACTTTTTTCTCTCATAAAATGAAGTTCTTGCAGGAGCAAATCATGATTATCCCAAGCAAGATTCCAGTTTAAAATTTAAACTGCTGAACACAACTTGAGGTTCGACGAGTAGCAGAAAAAATGGAACCAATCGATGCGATATATCGGATGCCGTTCTGACACAAAATATGGCGTCCATCGAAACACCTCAAGGAAAGGATCCGTTCAAAGAACGACTATGAAGACGGGCTTATAGTCTCAGTCGTTTTTTTTTTTTTTTTTTTTTTTTTTTTTTTTTTTTTTTTTTTTTTTTTTTAATAAACCTACGATCATCATATTTTGAAGAGGATTCCAGGATTTTCGGCTCAACGGGGGGCCCATCTCGACGCAATCATCACTACAATCAACGCCTCCCATTTAACGAACACGAAGGGTCTCGACATCATCGAGGGGATCGATAATGTAGAAACAGGGAAAAAGGCACAACGCGCACAGGTCAGGAATCCAAACCCGCAGCATTCGCACGACGAGGGAGGGATCCGGGGGGGGGGGGGCACCCGGGGCCGAAGATGACCAGGAAGAAAGTGAGCCCGAGCGGTCCCAAGAGCGCCCCAGTACGGCGCCCGACGTGAGAGAGAAAACATGCGCATGCGCCGCGCCAGATAGCCCGCGTCGCGAGTTGCAGTTCCCTGGATTGGATTACCGCATTGGATTACGACTGGAGACATTGGATTGTAAAATTTACAGACATTGGATTGTAGATTTGGCAAATCTCGAATCGGAGTGGTCGTCCCGGAATCGAGTAGTGTTTTTGGATTTTTACTGTGCTACATGTACATGCTACATCCGGCGATGGATAATTAAATAAATGTGAGATATTTTAAAATCGCAAGAAAATAAAAAAAAAAGTCGAGATTATATCAAGGCGAAAACTATATTTCAATGCGTGCGTGCTTAAGATTCGTGTGAATTTATTTATTTATCGATTGCAATTTTTCTTTCCCCCGGGTGGGATTTGGTCTCGTGTGAGTGAGATTGTAAATAAGTGTACATTTTAAAAGGCTTAGTTATTTTCTCTTAAAAAAATTTCTCGTGGGCCCATGATGATATGCTCAAAAATTTAGTTACCGGTTATATTGAAGTGCGCGATTTTTGTAGTTTTTTCTGTTTTTGTCACGATTGTGAAAAATCTGCGTACGAGTGTATGTGCTTTGTTAAGACAGAGAGAAACCGAACACGATGAAGTACCTTTTTACGGTAAATATTTTTGAATTTTTCCCCCTTTTTTCCTGCTTCAGTGTGTTCCAATCCGTCCGAAATTTGTCTTAATTTTTTGGCCCTCATATGATGAGTTTATTAATTATTTTTCCATATCGTTGACCGCTAAAACACCGTTCCTTTAATGAACAGGGCTTAGTTAAATTGCGAACTCATGGTTGGATATGATTAAAATATCCGCGGGGGTTTTATTTTGGAAGGGGGAGTGGAATCACAACAATTAATTCTATGTCTTGAAATGAAACCGAGAATTAATTGCACCCGAAGAGTTCGTGCAAAACATGCCGGAGTATGATGAGCTTTGACAGCATACTTCACGTTTTTTTCCCCCACAAATACATCTCATTTTCCTCACAAAGTTTGCAAGATAACGTCTACCGTGTTATCCCACGCTACACCGTTTTTGGGGTAAGAAGTTGGCGGATGATAATAAAATCTCTCTAAAATTATTTATAGGGACGATAAGGATATTTTCTCCTTAAAATACCAAAATTCGATTTTTCTGCTAGATAAAAATCGCCTCATTTTAAATATCGCCTATGTAGACCAAGATCCTTCCCTCGGTAAACGGGGTTATCATTGTTCCCCGTGCTTTTATGACCCCCACTTTAAGTTAAATAATCTTATCTGCCTGAAAATATTTTCTTGCTAGTATACCTACCGAATAACTCAATAGCAGTGAAAACATAGAAACTTGCAACTTAAAGGAGTTGCATGAATTGAAAGGCACTTGGATAATATGCATCTGCCATAATATTGCCAATAAAATATTCACATAACCTCGGTGGAAAGTTGCTGCCTGACCGCGCAAAACTTTCAACAGCACCTTCCGCCAATAAAATGTGCGGTACAAGGGGGCTTATCGAAACGTAGTTAAAGTTAATGGTGCAAAATTACCACCACGCCTTTTTAGATGGTGGTATAAACGGACAAATTGGAGCAGAATTCGCGTAACTGCGACGAAGGGATCCTCGAGGAACAGCTTCTTTCAAATAGCCCGTATTAAAAGAGTTGTTCCTCACGGAATAGCTCATTGCACTTGCGGTGTTTTTGCTCTACGTCGTCGAAATGATAATCCGCTGACAGGCAAACATGAGATGGTCTTTTTCTCTCCTTGCATAAGAACTTGGCTATCGTTCTGTCGACGAGCTGGGTATTATGCAGGCCATTAGGACACGTTTTCTCTACGGCTAGTCCTTAACCGCACTTGTCTTGAGCAGAACTTTCAGGAATACAAAGAGGGAGTACAAAACTTGTATTTCTGGCACTAAAGTATTTTTTATTTTTTCTCGCATAAATCTTGCTATTGATAACAGATCGTCTTTGGTATAAACTCTAAAGATGATTTAATCAATTATATTTCAATAGTGGCGGTAGCCACCCTCGGTCGAGAAAAATGACGTCCAACGAAAGTCCCGATAGCAAAGTGGTGGCCGACACTCATAAACACACGGAACTCCCTTAATCTGAAAATTGATTCGGTTTGAACTCGACTGCAGCTCAAACGACGGCACGGATTTCTGCGATCTTGGTGTCTACGGACGCATCTCAATAAGGACTACAAAGTGGAAGAGTTTCATTAAGATCCATTGAGTTTTCAAAAAGTCATTAGCACTTAAGGACCCAAAACGACAAAAAATTTACCTTACGAGGGGCCGTTTGGAGGGCAATTTGAATTTCAGGGTCCTCGGAAAGTTACTGTGATTCCGCGATAACGGTAAACCCTAGATCCGTAAAATAGGTGCCAACCGAATCATCATATATAAGTAAAGTTTACATTCTCTAATTATACCTGGCAAGAAAATGTTGGGCCACGTCCACAACTACTATTGCGTCACGCGTCAATGACTTGGTGGTGTAAATGACCCTCTTCATTAAATATCATATGTATATTCCCAAATCGAGAGTCATCTTATCCGTGTAATTAAATTAAAAAAATTCCGTAAGAGTCAGAAACTTACCTACCAATAAAATTGTAGTCTTGCCATTTTCGTCGCTTATTTGACGTAAGGGCATATCTCGATGACCACGTGAGCCTTTGTTCCACATATGGACGTATTTATGCTAAAAGGAACTATGTGCATGAGGTTTGCATGAGACATGGTTCCTTTTGGCGTAAATACGTTCTTATGAGTCTATGCTGTTCTGGGCTAATGTGGAAATTGAGATTCGACCTTACGTCAGGGAGGCAATGCGCGGTGGATCGAGGCAATAGGAGAGGTCAGACATTAGGAAACTTTAAAAGCCTATAACTCCGTTTATACAAACTTTGAGTTCTTAAAGTGATTTCATTGGTTTTCTCGTGAAAATTTCTTCTAGAAATAACCCTTAGAACACTGGAAAAAAGCACATTGGATCTAGAGTCCAGACTCTTAAAAACATTGACTCGAAAAAATATTCTTGATTCAATCAGATTTAAGCTTGAATCAAGAATCAAGCCCCTTAATTTGAGCGGATTTCCTTTTGATTCAAGCTTAAATCTGATTGGATCAAGAGTATTTTTTCTTGTCAATGTTATCAATAGTCTAGACTCTAGATCCAATGTGTTTTTTTTTCCCAGTGCAAACCCGCAGAAATAAAGTAGAACTCGGTTTCTTTTTCGCTGACTCAGAGACTTTAACGCGGAGGTAGAAAAGTTGGAAGGGGCGAAGCACGCGATACAACTATTTCGACAATGTGTTTTATTCCCCATAGAATGTAAAATGTGGCGAGATACACATCTTAATTTGCAGTTTTAGTCAAACATTTTACGTCCGACCTCTCTGATTGGGTCGATCCACTGTGCCACGTTTTGAGATGTTATTAGATGTATTTTGCGTATCCCAAGAGTTCGGTCATTTAAAATCCATACTTAAACCTTTTTTTTATTCCGAAAACCTTTTTTTTACCATCAAACCAATCAAAAGACCATCGCGGCAATTCTTGCCACAGCAATTAAGGCTTATCCTATGAAGATACCCGATTTTTAGATGACAGTAATCCATCTTTGTCTCCGAGTCTAAAATGCAGTTAAAACCACTCTCGGATGAATTTTTGTCGTACTGAAGAAAAACGCCCGAAGAACATCCGGATGTTGCCAAATTTCCTTTCATTAAACGTTTATTTTTGAAGATGTGCATGGATATTTTGGCCGTGAAATTTTCAAATATACTGGATTAAATCGCTAATTAAATCCTCCGACAGATTAGAAGATATGTACTCACACGTTTCCTTGAAAATTCGTATTTTATCAAAACAAACTTGGCGAAGTCTGAAGTCTTATACGACGTTTTTTTTTTTTTTTTTTTTTTTTTTTTTTTTTTTNTTTTTTTTTTTTTTTTTTTTTTTTTTTTTTTTTTTTTTTTTAGCACGGCGCACAGCGGATCGAGGTAATCAAAGGGGTCGGACATGAAATTTTTGACTAAAACAGCAAATTATGATGTTTATTTCGTCACAATTTAAATTTTTATGGGTGCTCCTGTGAGAAAATTTCACGAGGAAACCAATGGAGCCACTTTTAGAACCTCAAAATTGTGTATAAATGGAGTTATAAGCTTTTAAAATCTCCGAATTGTGTCCGACCTCTCCTATTGACTCAATCCACTATGCGGCGCACAGTGTGTCAAAACCCCAATCTAGCTGCTCAAAACCCCCCTTATATCAAGTCAACAAATGGTGTTATTTATGGTCAGAGTGGGTCCACAGGTACCCACTGGTTACGTATCCATCATGGTTATCACAAAAATAAATTTTTTGGTCGCTAAAATGATAGGGATTGCAGCCGGTAAACCTCCAGCCTCAATCTCGCCATCAGGAGTGGTGCCACTGTATTGCTTTTTTTTAGAGTACTTCGTGGCGAAAAAGGGTCATTTCTGGATGAAACGAGATGCCAAAGGCCAGAGAAAGGAAATATGACCGTTGATTTCTCCAAAATCATTATTTAAGTATTATAATTGCTTATTGAAAACAGTGCCCAAGACCGTTTACTTTTCCTGGCTTTAATAGAGCCGCAAAAGCGCGGAACTACACGGAACACCATGAAACTTACATGAGAGTGTTCAGAAAACTATCTAGATTTGAAATGTCTTTAGTTTTACTGCTACCTTCCGCAACCTTGAGAATAAGAACACATTTTGTTCGGCGATTCCTAGTGTAAAAGCGTGCGGGCGGCGTTTTGCGATCTCCCCCTACAGGCTGTCACAGGTGAAGTGAGACGGAGGCAGCATCTCACCACGCGCGCTCGGTCCCCTGATTTGAGTGAGCCTTATCATGAGGCTTTTCACCGGATCAGATAAGACAGTGTGGTGGCTCAGTTGATTGCTTCTTTCGTTATTACTTGCATGATCGGGGTTCAAATCCCGGGCAGATCAATTTTTTGAAATTTTATTTTCTATTTCATTACGATTTTCCCATTATCTATACTGTCATGGAAGGGGGAGGGGGGTCCTCATAAATACAAAGTTGCATCGTATTTTTAACGAGTTTCTTGTATGATTTGAAACAGACTTTCTTATTTATTTCTAATGAGGAAAGGTTTCGGACATGGTTTATGAAACGTAGGAAAATAAAAGGGGGGGGGGGCTCGCCGAAATTTTCCTTTACTGGCAAACATTTTGAAAATATTATCTTTGACTTATCACTTAGAGTTGCCGAAACGTATCATTTTAATAATATGGAATTCATATTTCTTTGGATGGCCAAATGAGAAATTCGCCATTTTGAAGTGGAATGCATAAGCCCAAGACATCCTCCAGGACATATTTTGGATCGGAAAACACAATTTGACTAATTTTTGGGGTTCATCAGGTCACATAAGGCGCCTAAAACTTAGTTGGAATTTTACGATTTTTACATGAGTTGAACAGGATTTTTAGATGGCCGCCATTTTGAAAATTTTGATGACTAAGTTTTGAAATTTTAGGTGAACCTTCTTCAAGCTTACACTAATGCCTGTGCGAAATTTGGTGGTTATCCGACCAAATTTAGAGACGTGAAGAGGT